ATTGCAATTGCAATTGCTGTTGAACAGTTGGTTAGCTGGACTCGTCCGCCACTTTTCCGCCATCTGCCATCGTCCAACGTCCATCGTCCATCGTCCATTGCTACCAGCGCTCCTCTGTTTGGTTGAAAACCACAAATTAAGCAGAGAAATCCTTGCCGTGCATGCCAGCGATGGCGCCCAGGGAAATTCCAACAAAATCTGAAACATTTGCTGTAGACCATGGATTACCCACTAAAAATAACAGTGACGCTTTCCAACTTTCAATTTAGCTTTATTCACTGACAGTGTTTCAACAAGGTGCACCCACTTTAACCTTTGCATTTTCCCGTATCGAAGCTAGTTACCCCAGACTAAATATATATTATATGGTTCTCTGTCCGTAATACAAACTTCCCGAGTCTCCGGAGCAGGCGAACTGCGTGGGGTTCCAGAAACATATGTAAAAATCCGAAGAACCACAATACTCTTTTCTGGTGCGAAGGACATTTCGTGCAGAGTGGTGGACATAATAGAAGATTTGGCTATCTGACCCCAGCCAGTTAAAGTGATCTGCGAAAAGAAGCCTGTAAAGAAGGAATGTCTTGTTAAAACCCATTAAAAATGCAATACTTAATCGGTTGCAGTTGCAAGTAATATTTATTAAATTGAAAGCTCGAATGCTCAACGAGTGCACTTACAGCTGAATTTACAAATAAAACGAAAAGATCGCGATTTCTGAAGAACTAGCATAAGAAACATTATCTTGATGAGGCGTTTTTTTTAAACAAAACAAAAGTTGATTAAAGTGAATAATATGAATAATAAACAGATAAGTGAGTAACGAAATGTTATTAGATAATTGTTAACAATATATGGACTCTAAGCCTTATATTTTCTTTTTAAAAGCAGCATTAAAATGGGCATGCCCTTAAGCTGACAAATGAATGGGTATTAAAAAAATACAAACGCAGGCGAGCGCCCACAAACATGCAACATCCCGACCGCAATGTATTACGAGGGGCGTGGCAGGTCTGGGCAGCCAGATAAATGCCCGTTGCCGCTGCTGTTGCTGTTGCTGTTGCTGCCATTGTCGTTGCCATGTTGCCACGTTGCATGCAAACAAGTGCAGCACACACACAGGCAACACAAAGACACGGACGCTGACACGCTGGTGCCCGCACGTCAGCGCTCGTGCGTTTATTTGCCGTTTCCGCTTCCGTCTGTCGTCGTGGCCGTCATCGCTGCTGCTTCAGAATCCGCAGCCCCGACCCTCCCCCCACTGGCCCCCAGAGCCGCCCATTCCATTGCGGTCAATTGCAGAGCTCAGATTGCGCGTTAATAAGTTGCTTTTGCACTGCTGTTGCAACTGACGCTGCTGTTGCTGTTGCTGTTGTCACTGCCGCAAGGACTTTGCATGTAATGCACTTGGAAGTATCACGGTTTCCGTAATTTCCATAGGTCCCATTCAGCCATTTCCAGAATGGCAACATAGTCAACTAGTCAACGCAGCTCCTATCGCCATCTGCAACATGTTGCTGCTACAGAGTGGCAACTGCAACTGCAACAGCAACAGCAAGGCCATGAGTCGATAGCATCGGCAAAGTAGCAACACAAAGTTGTTGTCCCCGTCCGCCGGGCAACAGAGTCTCGTGTCTCCACTCGACTTGGCTTGAAGTTTTTATGTGCCCGTCCAGAAACTAATAACCGTAATGCTTAACGTTTATTGAAAAAAGGTGGCCAGGTGGGGTGTGACACTCTGACTTGGCCAGAACCATGCTTCACAACACATACCGCTATATATATATGCCACTGCTGCAGTTGGACAGTTCATAAATATTTCCAGCAGCTCCACGGATGCAACTTTTTGGCGTCGCATTTAATGAAGCAGCCACTGGCTTGACCAATTCCCTGTCCTTATGGCCAAGGAAATCAAGAGTTTTCCCAAGCAAAAGTTTCCCTCCGACAGTCTGGCACTTTTCCTTTCGCCGCTGGAGAATAGAGGTTTCTAAGTTGGAAAACACTTGTGCTCATCAGATAAGATGAATAAGATTTAGTTCAATAAAACTTGGAGTAAACAGTATTTGTTACATTTTCCAAATTAATATAATTTATAAAACAGATTAAGGATTTTATGTGGAAATTTTAAAATTTCCCTTCAATTTTTTCATAAACTTATCCAACCTTTTCTTAGATCATTTTGCGCGCAGTGCAGTAGGAAGATGTTTATGGTCATCTACAAATGCTGGCCATATATTATGCACGGGCCGAAATGAAAATGATCAACAAATGATTGACATCAGAGCTGCCCCAAACTTGGCCAGGCCCTCCCACAATTTCCCACCGCCCGCAGAGGAAGTTGCGTTTTCCGGGGGCAGAACTTTGGCAAAGTGAAAAACTTGCTGTCAGCATTAGATAAGCGCCACAAGTTAATAGACTTGTAAAACACACACACTTCTCTCCAGTGTTGACCCCTCAAAAAAACCTTGGCTACAGCGGGGTGGCATTCAAGCCGAAAGAGGAATTTTATTTATTTGTTTGTCGTTGGCATGTGGCGCGTGTTCCGTTTGGTTTTGGTTCCACCCCCGGTCCACTGTATAAAAAATAGTGATATAAATAAAAATGTTATATACGCCCACTCCTGCGAAAGGGGGCGGGCCCGTCGGCAGTCGACTGGCGGGCGGCTTATCAGCCAACTAACAATTTAGGTTGTCAACTCGAAGGGCAGCCGGAGATGTTTATCGTGGGCGTGGTGGTGCAAAACTTTTCTGTTTAACTAGACTCTTGCTTAATTTGAGCGTCTGCGGCTTGCCCTGCTGTCCCTAGCCCCTTTTGTTTGATCTCTGACCGGGTCAAAGTTTAGCTCATCAACAAATGATCCATGGATGTTGCTGATGCTGCTGCTGCTGCTGCGGGGGGCGGAGTGATTGACAGCCCACTTCCGTTTCCTCCGGCGGCGGCCGTCGAGTGTATGTGTGTGTGCTTATCAACTGTAGTAACTTTCCAAGTCGATTTCAATTAATCAATTGTCAAAATACTTGACAGCTGAATTTATAACTCATTTGGAGCAGCAGTCCCAAGTGGAGGGGAAACGGGCGACAGCAGGATGTTGCTGCGGCTGCTGCTCCTGCTGTTGCTGCTTGTGTGTTGCACAGTGTAAACTGCGAAGACTAGACAACAAAGCTGGCAACACAGGTCCAAATCGCCATGACAAGTGTAAAATGCAATCACAGAGGCGTGGCATCTTCATATACTCGATGCCTGTGCGGTGTTGCCTCCACGAATGTTGCCACCGTTGTTGCCGCTCCTGCTACCGTTGACATTGCCATGTCATCACTCTCGCTCAGACAGTCAGTCAAGTTGGAGGCACTTCGCCAGGCGCCCCTATCCGCATCCATGCTCACCCGGGGCTTATGCTCTGTTATTTACAATAGCGCATTTTTACACATATTTTTTCAAAGTCAACAACATGATTTTCACAGACTACGCTGCGCGACGTGTGCATAAAACCCAAACACAGCAGCAACAGGGAAACAACATTTACATTTTAAGTAGTTTTTAAATCGCTGCAGACAAACGTCAGCGTGTTGACAATTTATCATGCTCCTGCTCCTTCGCTTGGGAGTGGGTGGCAGTGGGTGCTCAGTGGGTGTTGGGTGGTTTGGGTGGTGTTGGGTGGTGCGACGTGATACATCCGGCACCACCCGTCGTGCTAAGGCCAGTGCTATTTTTGATTGATTGCTGTCAGCTGGCGGAGTGTTTAAGCACAGACTGCAACTGGCTGCATTTGCCAGACGGAAGTAAAGTAAATTCGGAAAACTCCGCCAACTCTTTGCGAATTTTCCTTTTAATTAATTTAAGGCCGAATGCAACTTATTGATTTATGTGCGTGCCTGCAAATGAGGCTGAAAGGCGCCAGCGGCGGCTGTGTCCACTTAAGGGAAGAATACTCAATTAGCTGCGAAAGCGGATGATGATGATGATGATGACAAGCGTGCAGCTGCACTGAGCGAAAAGGATACATAAAGTAGTGCCTTTGTATCTCTGAAGGGAAAGGATTGTATCTGGGAACTTCTTTTAAAACTCTTTGCTTTATTATTGTAAAAATTTGTACTAATTTGTCATCGAAACATAATGAAAGGAGTTCAAATTAAGTTTCTGTCGGTGCACTGGCTCCATGACTCACTGCCGGCACCTCGTTAAGTTGATCACATTGCCGAGGGGTCAAGTGTCGTGACAAGTGTCAGGACTTCCTTTGGCTGCATTTTCACATACTCCCACATATGCAAAATTAATTATTCGGTGGATCGCTTCTCGAGCACGGCGAAAAGTTCAAGTTGCTGCATTTTTATGCCGGACGAAAATTCAATTGAAACTTTGCAGACGACAGAGAATGCGATTGCGACAAGGCTAATTTCCGTACTCCTTGGAGTTATCGTACTTGAATAAGTTTCCACACAGATGCCAAAAACTTGCATTAAAGTGGATCGGTCGATGGAATTTATGAAGTGCGCGCCCGCGGCTGATTGTCCACCATCCCGTTTCCCACCATCCCAATTGGATTGTCCAGGAATCGAAGAATTTTTACTTTATTTGAACTCGCCTCCCCCGGCTTCCCATCCATCCATCTACCCATCCATCCAGTCGATGGTCATGGCCATGGCCACTTGAAGCGCATTTTCTGCGCCATTTCCATTCCGACTTCTGGCCTTCGGCTCTTCGCATCCCCCTGGTTTCCACTGCCTTAGCTGGTTTGATAAATTGTCTGGAAATTACAAATGGACACAGGGGCCAATAGCTTTTAGGCAAAGTTCGCAACGCTGCTCTTGTTTTGGTTTCGTTTTCGGTCAGGGGCATTTATGGTAATTTAAAATAAATGTGTGGCCCTGGAAGGAGATGAGGATTCGCAGGCGCTTCCTGTCTATTTACGCTGATTTATGGCCGAGCATTGTTGACTCTTAATGGCAAATGTCGACAAATTTGCTTTAATGGTCAATATAACAGAGGCTGCTGCTCGGTTTTTTGATTTATGCCCCAAAACCCAGTCGCCTGGGATTCTCTTCTAGGCTGAAACCCGAATTTGGACCGGTTATCAGTCACTTAGCCTGAACTTCGCTAAAAACCCCAAAAAACCCAACAGATCGCTGAAAATGGCGAATAAGTGCAGCTGCGGTGTGGAGGTTCTTGGCGGGGAAAACAGGTGAGTCCTGGAAGGAAAATTCTGGTACTTGGAGTTCCGACTGATTTTTCATATTCCTCATGAGATAGAAGTGTTTTCTGCGAGGGTCCCTTGCTGGATGCTGTCCAGAGATCGAAAATGTTTCCCGACTGTAAGCACTTTGTGGATATGAGCTGCATTTTTACACCTGCCCAAACTTTGAACGACTTCGATATGTTCACCAATTGCTGCAGGAACGATGGTTCCCTAAGGTTCCTGCAAATGTTTGTGGAGGTAAAATGTGAAAAAATCCTAAGCAGATACAATTTAACTATTAATAGGTATGATTTATTTCCAAACTTATAATTTTAGAAATATTTTCTTATTGCAGAAACACTTCAATGATCCTGGCTCGGAGCTGGAACATTGGACTCCGCCGGATTGGAAAGAGGAGCCCTCGTTTCTTGCCAAGATCGGTGACCCGGAAATAAAGCAGTTCGGTTCGGATGTCAATGGACTTTGGAGGGAGTTGGGGCGGCGGATTAAGGAAGAAGTCAAGGAGAACCCCGATCAGTATTCCATACTCTATGTGCCCAATCCATTTATTGTTCCCTCCTCGGATTGCCGGGAGTATCGCTACTGGGAATCATTTTGGATCGTTCGCGGCTTGCTGCAGTGTGGCATGCATCAAACAGCCCGGGGCATGATCGATAACTATTTGGAACTGGTTCGGCAGTATGGTTTTGTGCCTGGCTGCGGCAGGATTTACTGCGCGGGACGATCGAATCCTCCACTTTTGATCATGATGGTGAAGGCCTATGTAGAGGTGACCAAGGACGAGCAGTACGCCATTGAAGCGCTGCCGCTACTAGAAACCGAGTACGAGACCTTCATCACCAAGCACTCGGTGCAGGTGAAGGGCAGAACCATGTACCAGTATAGGGATTTCTCGGCAGGACCCAGACCCGAGGCCTATAGAGAGGATCTGGAGTGTGTGGCGAACATCAGAAGTCCTCTGTCCCGGGAGGTTATGTACACCGAACTCAAGTCGGCAGCTGAATCGGGCACGAACTTCAGTTCCCGCTGGTTTGTTACCGCCGATGGTACCAACAAAGGATCCTTTCGAGACACCAAAACCTCTGCCATTGTGCCGGTGGAGCTGAACTGCATCGTTTTCCGGAGCGGCAAGATCCTGGCCGAATTCAATCGCAAAGCGGGCAATAGCAAAAAGGCAGACGAGTACCAGGATAGAGCCTGTGGCCTCGTGAGAGCCATTAGGAACAATTTGTGGAACGCCCAGGCCGGCATTTGGTTGGACTACGATCTGGTGAACAACAAGCCCCGCAACTACTTCTGCTGCACCAACTTTGCCCCACTGTGGGCCAGGGCCTTTCCCTTGGTGGACACCGATAAGGTGTCCAAGGGGGTGATGCAGTACATCAAGGCCAACGAGTTGGATGCGCAGTACGGTGGTGTGCCGTACACGATGAACAAGGAGTCGGGCCAGGACTGGGACCATCCAAATGTCTTTCCGCCCATGATGTTCCTGATCATCGAGGGTCTGGAGAATCTGGGCACTCCGCCGGCCAAGGCCATGTCCAAGCGATGGGCCCATCGATGGCTCAAGTCCAACTATGCGGCATATAAGTACGAGAGCTTCATGTTCGAGAAGGTAAGTCGCTGAAATATACTATACTACTATCTATTTGTATCGCTGTTATAATAAACTGCCTAAGCTATATTTCTCAAAGTATATCTTGCCAATATACCAATTTTTATTTGAGGACCTGTACCCTTGAGCATCAAGTTTAACTTTTACCAGATTGTCATACAGGTTTTAAAACCTGACAGTAGCAATCCGCCTTCAAAAATATTTCGCACTAACATGGCAGCTTCCTAATCCGATTTTTCCCACCTTATTGCAGTACTACTGCGAGGAATTCGGCACTTCTGGAGGAGTCTCCCCAGAACACACTCCAGTGGGTTACGGCTGGACAAACGGCGTGATCATCGAGTTCCTCTGCAAGTACGGAAAGGAAATAAGCTTGGCCGACGACAGCGACGAGGGCAGCAAGAGCAAATCAAGAGGACCAAAGACAGCCGGAAAGTACCAGTACATCATTACCAGTGAGGCCAACATGGATGATCAGTCTACCAAGAAACAGTGCGTATGTGGGGCTCCATCCACGGTGGGCTCCACATCGCACAAATCAACCGCCACAACTGCCACCAGCGACTTTAGTCAGCAGACACTGCCGCAGCAGAAGAATAAGTGCTCCTGCAGCATTGCCCAAAAGGAACGCTCACAGACGCAGCCAGGAGAGGATGGCAAGTGCTCGTGTGGTTCAGGAGCCCAGGAGAAGTCCCAGCAGCAATTGCAAGCCAAGGATGCGACGAGTTGTGCCATATGTGGTTCCCAGAAACAGCAGCCATCGCCAGTTCAAATGCAGGGATCTCGACAAGGACATGACGACCAGTGTCCCTGCTCTGGAAAAGAAGCACAGCAACAGCAGGGAGCCTTGGGACTGCAGCACAATCCAGATTGTCCGCAATCTGGACAACAGCAAAAAGGAGCGGCACTCATTGCCGTTCAAGGGCAAGTGCCGGAAGACGATCCCGACTGCGAGTGCTCCATGGACGACCGACAACGGCAGCAGATGGAGCAGCAGCAGAGGCAGCAGGACTGCATGCGGCAGCAGCAGCAGGAGCGCCAGAAGCAGCAGCAACAGCTCCAATCTGAACAGCCAGCGGCGAGGGACTGCTCCACCAAGCCCGAGACGCAGGACTGCTCCAAGCACCTGAAGCAGTCTAATGGCACCTGTGGTTGCATGGACGACGAGGACGATCGGCACGACGCGCTAACGGGACACTACTTTCCAGTGGCCGATAAGAACCCAGATGCCGTCAGTGTGCAGGCGAGCCAGTCCCCACAAAGGGAGTCCGGATGCGACGGCTGTGGCAGGGAGGATTGCCCGGATCCTCCGCAGGAAGACAAGGGTTCCAGAGCTGCTGCGGAATGCGCTCAGCCGAAAGCATCGCAGCATGCAGCTGCCGATGATTGCAGTTGCGCGGTGGGCAAGATTCAGAGCAAAGCCGCACCAGTCGCACCACCGCCCACCTTTATATGCCCACATTGTGGGGGCGTCACCTCCGAAGCGCACCTGTCCACCTTCACCATAGGCACCAATCGACCCTCGGTGCCGCAGGACGACTGTGAGTGCTCCAAGGAATCCAGAGGCGCAGCGGGTCAGCCACTCCGTGGGCTGGCCAGCAAGGGCATGCAGAGTGGTCACAGCAAGGTGGTGGCCGGTGGCGCCTCCGAGTGTGCTCCTTGCAAGGCTCACGTGACGGCAGATTTTCCGCCGGGCCACGGACCAAAGCCCCTGTTCAACAAGCAGTTCCCACTGGCAGATCCTGTGAGTAAATTTGACGCGTGTCCTGCGAATCGAGGACCTGATGCGACCAGCAGCAAGAAGAAGAAGTGCTGCAACTGCGACGAAAAAGAGGTTGGGGAATAGATCTACATCATCTAGAGATCTATGCCGTAGAAGAACACGCGAAGGCCTTTTGGACTGAAACTAAATTTTAGTGTGTCAAATTTGTGGTGCTTTTTCAAGACTCTGCAGCTTGAAGGCTTAAAATAAAAAGTATTTTTAATTGCAGTACATTTCAAATAAAACATGCATGAATATTTGCGTTTCCTTTCATCAAAATAAACAAATGTAGCTAAGAAAAGCTGCAGTCGAATAACAAATAACACCCAGATACTCAGTTGATGAATTTAGTGCACTTTACTGGACTGACTATACAAAAATACAAATTAATTGGAGCCGAAAAGTTAGCTACCCCAGCCCGAGTTGTTCAGTTGATCCCATTACTTTTTTCTGGACACTTTCCGTTCCGGATATAGCAGGTACACCAATAGCTCCTCGGTGACCTCGACCTTTGAGTGGGAGCATCCATAGCCGTTGAAATCCAGTTCACGCTCCTCCTCGTCCAGCACATAGTACAGGTCGCCGGAAAGCGCGGATGAGAGATTCTGTCCTGGCTGAAGGACCTTGAGAGCGTCTCGCCGGAACAGTTGAATGGCCAGGATTACATTTTCACTTGACCTCAAGCAGGAGTCCAACCGCTCCTGCCCCACCGAAGGAAAGAAAGCCTTGTCCAACTGGAAGAGCAGCCTTCGGAAAATGAAGCTAGCGAAGGTCCTTTGCTGGCCGTGAATCAACTGCCTCCTTTGCAGGGAAGACGGTTGCAAGACTGCGAAGCCCACATAGATCATCAGTAGAAACTGGGTGCAAATGGACAAAACCAGGACGAGTAGAAGGTAATCCTCATCGCAGTGCTTTAGAATTGGTTGTTCTTTCCAGTTCACGATCGGCGTGATGCCAACAGGCACATATCCTGGCTGCAGGGTGGCCACCAACATTGTCACCGATTCAAGGACCGGACTCAAATTTGGAATTTCGATGTCGCCGGGTTTGGGTCTGTGTGCGTAATAGCCAACAAATCGAAACTGGGCAAGCGTGGCCTGCTCTCCCATATCCGATTTATATCATTTATATTTAAGTTAAGTATTAAATAGTGTGTTGGTAACCAGATAACAGCATAAAACCTTTCTTATTAGATAAGATTTTTTCCTTAGGAAAAGCATTCAGAGAAACATCGCCTAATTTCTGCCATGACATGTCATTCACAATCCACTACGGTTATCTTTATGGGCCTGTCAATATCTTTATGACGCGCCCACCCACCCAACCATTTGGGTGTATGTACATTTGGACAAGGACACATTTGGGGGAAAGCGAAAGTATCCTTTGACACAATTTCCGCCAGCTCCTGCCTCTGTCTCTGTCTACTTCGCTATCTCGCTCTCTTTCTAGCTGTGTGTGCTTGTGTGCTCAGGCTTGTAATATTGGCGAACGATTCATTGATGTATTCACACACACACACGCACACACACACTTAGCTGCTCACTGACTCATAAGCTCACCCACACAGATTCGAGCCCAAATATGCGCGCTCCATTACAACAGAGCGCCCACCATGACATACCTTACCATACCATACCATACCATCCCATCCCATCCCGGAAAACAGCCTGTCGACGCGATTGTACGGTTTTGATATTATTGAAATGCCATTTTGATTGGCTTTGATGTGTGTGGATGGATGGGCGAGTAACGATTTGATGTTGCTAAATGTTTTATGCAGATGCTTGATAGCAGGCCATGGTTCCATTGATGTGATTAAGCGATAAGTAGTCAGCCATGAAGCATTTTGGCCACAGATATTAGTTTGTTCGCCCGGTGATTGCACTGCTGCTAATTTGATTGAATGGCCTCCGACTGGAAGGGTTTGCATAAAAGAGTTCTGCTGCCAGCTTAAATAGGAGCCGGGATTCACCATTCCTCATTCCCGATTCGCATGGCCTCTCGCTTTCGAGTTCTTATCCAATTATACACTTATGGCCATTTGTCAGTGGAATGTGTCAACAGTGCCGCGGCACTTTGTGTCTGTGTGTGCGTCTGGGTTGCGAAATAAGAGCCGAAACCCACACCGAAACGCCCGAAAGGAAAACCCAAGGCTGACAGGCAGACTGCCAGCAAACAGGGAAAACCCAGGGAGGAAATGGGTGAGGGAATCGTAACCGCAACCGAATAACCGAGTCATATCACAGACGTGCAACTGAGCAGCACTTGATGATGAAGAATGTGAGCATCCTTGGCAGCGCCTGCACATGCCACTTGAGGCACTGAGAAAAACACTGTGCACCTGCCTAGCTAGACAATAGGTAACTGACGAGTTGATTAGAGTTGCGTTAACCAGCCTGGCGCGATATAAATCAAAATATCATAGGCAGGTGTCCAGAACATAAAATAGTAAAATAAATAAAAAGTTCACAAAAGTAAGTATCTTTTGTTTAATGTACGGGTATTCCCAGAGTGGGCAGACCGTGTCCCTAGTCAAATGGCAGTGATGAAATGCAGAAGTGCTGTAGCTCATCAGTCTTAGGGAGTACGACGCCTCCGATCACCGCCCATCTGGCCCCCATCCGTCAGAAGTCCCTCGGCGGAAATCCGCTCTTGATTATAAGTTTGACGCACCGCAGCCTTTAATGTGGATTCCGCGACTGGAAGTGGAGGACTGGAAGACTGGAGGAAAGTTGCAGTCTAGCAGACTTCGCAGACTGCTGAGTTGCGTTTCCAATTAGACTCTGGGCGAATCATTTGCATGTTATTGACTAAATTAAGTGGCAAGCTAAAGTTGTAAAAATATGCGAAATTGGCCAGCAGACGAGCAGACGCAACACAAAGCAAACTATGCGAATCCAAATGAATTGAAATGAAATGGAATGAAATGAAATGAAATGAGACTGAGCCAAATGAAATGGAGAGGGATTTTGGCTCAGTTGGCATAATATCGGATGACAACAGTTCAAATACCTTCACTTTGAACTGCCAAAAGTGCTCCCCACCTGAGTTGTCGTGCTGAGAATATCCAGATAGCCGAGTTGAGTCTTTGTTTTGCAGCAAATTGAAATTGAAATTTGCATGTTTGCCACCAGAAATGTTTCAATTATTCGCATGCACAAATGAATATAAAATCGAAACAAGCGGCAGGAGCAGCTGCAACAACAACGAGAAATCTGTCATATGTCAAACTTTGCCATATTTAATTTCCTCTTTGCGAAATTAGTTTTTCCTCATCCGAAATTTGTGTGCACCACATATTCGTGTTTGCCGATTTTTTCTCCTTTTTGTTCCGTTCTTTTTGTTCTCCCTTCCTCGCTCCACCATTCTCCATTCTATAAGTCTTTTTTTCGGTCCGCCCCTCGCACACAGCTGCAATAATTCATGTTCAAAACTACAAATTGAGTCATAAACAACTTTTGATTTCGCATATGGCAGTCATGTCCTCCGGTTTCTGGGGGGTTGTGTCTTATTTTTTATATTTTCGTTTTTGTGCTCGGCGTTGCATACTTTTTGGGGTGCATTTGGGGATCGGCTTAGAGATGGCTGCGTGAGTCGTGATCGCCTGGTCGTGACACGATGAACAGCGATTTGGGTGAGAAGCATATTCTTTTTAAGAAAACCTATTCTTTTCAGTTAGTTGAAATGTGTTTTTCTCCAGCCGCAGCATCATAGCCATAGGTGATAAGAGCTCACAAGTTTTGTAACCCAAATCTAACCTAGCTAACCACATAACAATATGCTACATTACGAGCTATAAGATTCTTAACGAACTCATTTTAAGTTATTTTCAGACCACAGTAGGCACTTGCCCCGTGGAATTTGTAGTTTTTGTGCACCACTAGTGGGATTTGCCGGAAGTGCCCATTGTGTTCTAGTTGACCTTTTTAAAAATGCAAGCGCCTGCAGTCGCTCTCATTAAAAACAAAAGATTAAATCCTGAATATGTGCTGTGCGCATATAATATATATAGACGCACAAAACCGCTTAATTCATAATTTAACTGGGCGCACTTTTAGTTGCGGCTGGCGGAAAAACAAGAACCGAAAGTTGAAAAACCATTTAAAAAGGTATGCAAACAATGTTTGTCCGTCTGGATTTCTGGATGTTGGCACGTCTGGATGTTTGGGCTTACTTATGTATTTCACTCTTTATGATTTATTTCGAAATACGCTGGCCACATTCAGACACCAGCGGCAGAAAACCCGAAAACCCAAAAAGCTTTGCCGCTTAATTTCATTAAAAATTTATGAAATAAAGGCACAGCCAGGATGGCGTATTAAAATTTGATAGTCTGCTTCGTGTGCATGTGTGTCTGTTGTTCTCATTTTTTTTTTACTTATACTTGTGTGTGTGCCTGTCTGTGTGTGAGTGCTCCATGCGTCATTGTTAATATTGTGCTGCGGTTTTTACGCCAAAAGTCACCAATGGACGGACGACGCGAAGCGAAAAAATTTGGCCCGTCTGTGTGCACTTTATTTGATGGACTTGTTTATGAGCCATTTCCATGCCATTCGAATGGCATGCCCATCTGGATGCAGCACCTTGATTCTCGCTTTTATTAATGTTTATTGCATTTCGAGCGTTTAATTTGATGTCCGCGTCCAAGTTGCCAAATGATGAGACGTTAAATGGAATTGCAACTCGAGCTGTCCTTATCCGCACGGCGAACCAATTTGCAAATGTACACGAATTGCGGTGGGCGACGCACTTTTCCCTTGCTCATATTCCTTATTTCATTTTTATACTCTTTTACTTTTGTTCTGTATTCCCTGGTTTTTTTTTTTTTTTTCGGCCAGAAATTGCATTTTTAATATCCTTGGCAAGGATCGCTGGCTGTCATGGGTAATGAATGCGCTGGCAAACAATTATTTTTATATGACTGCTGTCTGCGACAGGCGGCTGTCTCTTTGGCGCTCTTCTGCAGAATTCTCCAGCTCCGACTCCTTCTCCTCTTCTTTTTCGCCAGCTTCTTCTTGCCCGGTTGCCAGCGGTAACGGTAACTGCACATAAAAGCCCCGTTACATACTTGAGAAGTTACAAGATGTCATTTCGGCATCCTGCAATATTCATAACTGCCACGAGCACACTGCTAAAAATGGGGTGAACATTTCCAATCAATAAGTTGCGTTTTGTAGGTATTTCGAAAAGAAACATCTAAAGTTATTTCAACATTATTTCTGGAAAATATCTTTAAGATATTTTTGAAAGTGTACACATTTTTAGCAATGTAGAATTAACGTCAATTAACATAAGCTTATGTTTTTTACGTTTACAAACTTGGGGGAACTGCAATGCTTCCTCATTTGGGAGCCACCAAACGCATAACACCTGCTGAACAATGGCGAACAATGTTCTAGTCACACTTGCCGCACTTGCAACAGTGACACTCATTAGATTAGCGCTGATTGCGCAACCACTCGACCTCATCGCACCGCCCAACCCAGCCACCCAACCACCCAACCACCCAACCACCGAAGGGGGTTTCGCCAAATGCTGACAGCTGTGTGACAGCGCTTGGGGAACGCCCTTTAAAAGGCCTTGGGCACACGGATGTGTGGGTGGGTGGGGCTGTGGGTGGTGGTTTGGCTGCATTGATTGTTTTTGCCACTGGTAATTTGAAACTTTAAAATATTTATGATTTATGTTTAGTTTCCTTCAGACTGCTGGGGGTGACAAAAGGACACGAGATCGCAGGAAAGCCAGGACACCCTCGTAAATTCTGTGGCCCGTGGGTGGTGGGTGGTGTTCGGTGGGCGTTGGGCGTTGGGCACGAGGAGGCGTGGCCATGGCGAATGCTGGAAAATTTTTCATTACACAGCTATGCAGTCGCGCAATAAGCAAGGCAGTAGAAGTGGAAACCCAAAGAGGAGTGACATCTAATGGAGTCCGCAAATTTTGCATGAGCAAATGGGATGGGATGGGATGGGATGGGGCTTCACTGAGAGATTGGCCAAAATACTTGGCACGTGCTGGGGGATGGGGCTTTTGCGCTTCAAGTAATGCTGAATTGAGTTGTCAGTTGTGCGAAAAGTTGCGTTTTATGAGGGTTGATGTGCGGGGATTAGGG